CAATAGGGTGTCAATAGTTACAATTATGATCAATCTTACTTAATCAGTTTATAAATGGATGTATATAAGTATATAATCAGTAGAATTATTTTTGTAGGTTTTATATAAATATATTGAATAATATGAATAAAAAAAATGTGTTACAGTGACCAATAGGGTGTTAAAGGCCCAAAGATTTTGCCTACGCAGCAGCTGGGCGCTGCGGTCGCTCCATGGCCGGGCGCCACCGGCCTCCTCGCCTCCGTCACCGCTGACGATATGGCACACAAGGGTAAGTAAGATTTATTTTAAATATCAATATATGAACAACAAATATTTTTTCAAATATGATAACACAAGAATCGAAACCTGATCGTATCAAAATCGACAAACAATTACCGATTACACGTAGAACTGAAAATTCAAATTATTAGGGATACCGAAAAGTACACTTTTTTGGTATACTAAATTTTATCGAAATTTAAAAAACAAAAATTACAACAATCGTGTGTCATCGATTAAATACAAAATACAATACTTCCTCTGTTAATTACTTTTTAATTTCCAAAATTATTATTACAGTCTTCCCAATATCCAATACTTGAAAATATCAATTAAACAATATTTTCCTTATATTTTTTCTTTTGGTTGAGTTCACTAAAGCTACTTTTTGTAGGTATTTATGAAGTTTAACAAAAGATTTTTTATTTTCCAATGCGTTCGATATTTCTTTTTTTGTTATATTTTTCATATCGATTCGATACAAAAGGGTTATATCACGTGCAGAGTTCTTAGGATTGAATGAATAGAAGGAGAAGGAAGAGGAGGAGGAGTAGGAGGAGGAATAAGAGGAAGAGGAAGAGTAGGAGTAGGAAGGTGGGGGGTACTTGGAATCTTAGTGGAGTCGAATCGGAACGTCCAAGAATCAAGAGGGAGACGTTCGGTTGATGGCTAAGGCGTTTAACCCCATTAGTCCTGAATGGAACTTCTCTTCTCTCCTGTCTCTCTTCTTCTTTCATCTTCTCTCTCTCTTTCTATCATTCTCCTTCACCCCCGCTGAAGCTCTCTTAACGCAGGGTCCAAAGAGGATGAGCAGACGACGTCTCAGGGCTTTCTAAAGCCGGCAGCTCCTGTGCTTCAAACTGGTTGCTCACTTCACGTATTGATTTCCATTCTCTCGTGCCTTCCAACACTCGCCCTTTTTCTCACTATACTTCTCTCTCTCTCTCTCTATCTTTCTTACTTTTATTTCCATTCGCGATCACCAATTTCCTGTTTCTTCGATACTAATCCATAAATTCGTAATAATATTAAACATACGATCCCGTAGAGATGCCACGATTATTTATTACAAAATGTTCGTGTGTTCATAGTTAAATTGAAATGAGAATTTATAAGAATTAATAGGGGAATATACTTTTGATAAAAATTTGTCGCGTATGTAAAGAAATGATTAATTATATCAGCCCTATTTTAAAATATTTTTTATGCACATATATTTTAGCGTAATTATTTAATTTTGTATGTGTCGTAAAAGTGTTTCTAATTGTAGTTTTTATCTAAAAAAAAAGAAAGAAACAATCTCCTTAGATTATTCTTTTTTTCCAATTTTAATCAATGTTGTTAATTTTGTGAGAGAAAAAAGAAAAGAAAAATTATTAATAAATATGTATCGTAGGGAAATTGGACATTAAAAAAAACTAGAACTTAGTTTTGATCAAATTGAACGTTTCGTCCCTTTATTGGGTTGTTTTGTTGGAATGTTTAAATATAACGCATTAGGATATAACGAAGTTTAGATGTTTAGTTTTTCGAATATTACAAGAATGTATGTCTGCTCAAATGAAAAAGATGCTGAACGTTAGAGATTGAGTTGCTGAATAAGTCCCAATAAATGGACGAAATATCCAATTTGATGAAAACTCTAAATTCTAGTTCTTTTTAATGTCCAATTTCCTTACGATACTTATTTATTAATAATTTTATTTTTGAACGAGATAAATAACTATTAATTGAAAAGAAAAATATTCTTATATTCATTTGATAAATGATTATAAGCAATATCCATCAGAAGAGGTATATAATAATATGATGATCTTAATAAATTCGCGAAGAGGATTCGTAATAGGAACTTAGAAGAATCCACAAGTGAGAGTAAACGACCTAGATCCGAGGTGGAACGCGGAGAACGATCGAAAATCCACGAGTTATCTGACCGAGTGCAGCTCAGTGGGGTGTGTAGCGTTAAGTTGGCGTTAGCTCATCGAATCGCCTCGATAGACCGACCTCGGCCGAACGAGATGAGGGTTTTGATCGATCGTACGTACAAATCGCGTTTCCCTTTTCTATATATCTTTCCCTTTCTCTCTCTTTCTCACTCACTCTATTTCCTTCTTTCTCTTTCTGTCTATTTTATTTTATTATTCCATCTATATATCACAATATGTTTTTTCATTTCTAAGATAAAAAATACACCCGTTACATTTTTCCTTATTTTCACAACGTTAACATCGATTCTAGCATAAATTTTCTAATATAAATCTATCGATACTCTGTGGAAATGATCGAGTCAATTCAATTTTTGCTGCAATATGAAAATAAGAAAAGAGTTAACAATATTGTGTCAAAATTATAATTTCGAAATGATATATTGGTAAAAATGAAAAAATTGATAATAAATTCTTCTTTCTCATTTTATTAGGACATTATCCTGTTATAATAGCTTTTTTTTTATTGTTATTTCTAGGCGCGATTTATTGATAAATAAATGATATCATTATATTGTATCAAATATAATTATCGATACGTAAATTAATCGCGTGGGTTTTTTTTACATTAATGATCGAATAAAAATGTATTTAAAAAATTCGAACAAAATAATAGATAAACACACCAAGCAATTTCTAACCTCGAAGTGTAATAAAAGGAAATTTATATATATAAAAAAAAAAAAAGAAAAAAGAAATAGAGAGAGATTATATATACAAATTAAAAATATGATCAATCATTGATAGTAAAGTTTAGATCGCGAAATTGTTTCGATAGTTTGCTATATTTATCTCCGTCTCGATCACGTGACTTCATTCTTTATTCCAACCATTGGGGGTGTGTATGAGAAAAAGAGAAAGAAATAGAGAAAAAGAGAGAAAGAGAAAAAAGAAAAGAGTGTCTCCCGGAAGTTTGGCAAATCGTTCGACCTCCGCTTTACCACGAAGAGAGAGAGAAAGAGAGAGAAAGAAAGAGAGAGAGAGAGTCGGGCTGTCAGCACGACGTCTACGTCGACGAATCAAGCCTCCCCCCTGTGGAGTCGCTTTTACTCGTAAGGGATGAGATGCTTGCCACTGCCTAAAGGAAAGGGAAGAAAACCAAAAGAATAAGAGAAGAAAAAAGGGTGGTGGCAAAAGAGATAGAAATATATAGAACGGGGAGGGAATTCAAGAATACGAAAAACGAAATAAGAATAAGAAAGGTTTGCCTGTTCTTCTTCTTCTTCTTCTTCTTCTTTATCTTTCTCTTTCTATTTTTCTCTTTTGCACCAAGCGTGATATAGATATATATATATATATATATATATATATATAGAAAGATAGAAAGATGGATAGATAGTGTAGAAGGGGTGAAGGGTATAGTGGTGTGTGCTGGTACTGCTGGGTTCCTGGAGCATTGATCGTTTCTGAATTCAGAGTAGATGGCAACCCCCGAGCGTTTCTTCAACCTCCTCCCCCTGTCCGCCCTCGTTCTCCTCCCCCTCTTCCTCTTCTTCTTCTTCTTCTTTCTCTTTCTACCTTAGGTCACCCTTCCTCAAGTCTGTCTTGAATATACGTACTCGTCTTCTTCGTACGTTCTACGTAACGAAAGAAAAGAAAAGAGAAGAGAAGGAAAGAGGAGGAGGAGGAGAGGGAGAGGGAGGAGGAGGAGGAGGAGGAAAAGAAGGGTGTCGTAAGAGAATGCGAAAAGGGAGAGATACGACGACTACGACGACGACGTTGGGGTTGGTTGGTTGTGGTGGGGAAGATAAGGGGTTGGGGGTGGTAGCTCTTTAAAACGACGACGAGAAGGCGTTTTCGTTCGTCTGGTGCAAAACAGACAGAAACCCTTCTTCTTTTTGATCCCACCATCCCTTACTTACTTTGACTAGAACCCGCAGCACATCCCCCGACAGCTCGGCGACTCTTATTCAATTAATTCGTAACCAACAAAAATGCCACCATCTTATATTTTTTTATCCTTCTTTTTTCTTTTTCTTCTTTCTTTCTTTTTTCTTTTTTCTTGATCTTACTCCCTTTCTCTCCCTTTTTCCCTGTGTTTTATTTTTCTTTTTTTTTTTGTGCATACCCTCAACATTTGTGTTCCTCCTCGAAGTTGCGTTGAAGAAAATCGTGAGAGGGATGAGTTGATATAACTCGTAAGAAATTTTTACTTTGAAATCTCGACTCCGAAGGGGTAAATCCTTTTCCCTTTTTCTTTTTTTCTTTCTTTTTACCACTACTCTCCTTCTTCTTCTTCTTCTTCTTCTTCTTTTCCTCTGTATATATTTTTCTTTTATTTTTTCTTTACCTTTTTATTTTCATCTTATTTCATATTTCTTCTTCCTCTCATCTTTTTCAACAGCTGTTAGTACTGGTGTTACTTCCACAGGATACGTTTGTGCAGTTCGCGGATGCTTTTGTTGTTTGTTTCCAAGTGTTCTTACCCTCACTACTTCTTCTTAACCCTCTGTTTCATCGTTTTCAACCCTTCCATCTCGTTTTCTCTCGTTTTATCTCTCGTTCTCTCTTTCCCATTCGTTCTTTCCGTTGGCGTTGAAGCTCCCAAGCGGAAACGCTCGTTTCGTTTGGCACCTCGGGGGATCTCGATGACGAGGAGGAGAACCTTCGTAGAGAAATTGTAATTAGCTCCTCGACGTTCCTTCCGTAGCCTGATCTTTCTCTCTCTCTCTTTCTCTTTCTCTTTCTCTTTCTCTTTATTTTTTTCTCACTCTTATTCTCGTGATACCTCGAGACCTTTAATTGTCAGCCCTTTTTCCCCACTTTGTTCTTCATCGGTAAAACGAAATCGATGGTTACATTATTATTATTATTATTATTATTAATATAATAATAGAAAAAAATGATTAATATTTTTATTTATCTATTAATAATTTTAATATGTGAACGACAGTAACAGAATAATCATCCTTTCTATAAGTTGATTTTTTTGATTTTCCAATGAAATTAAATCAATAATAATGAATGGTAATTACGTGGAAAAATGCGCTCGTTAATCGAGTATCAATGATTTATTTATTCCACT